ATCTAACCATATTGAGAAAATCCTTTCAGAATTGATAGCATTCTAACTTTGTTTGGTTGCTGAGAAAGTAGATTAAAAACGATGAAAAGAAAAACTAAAAAACCAAAAAGAAAAGAATCAACTCAATCGGTTTCTTCTGTAAATTGAATGCCTCATGTATCTCTCCAACTAAAAGAGAAAAACTAAAGACTCTAACTTCTCGTTTTTTGCTCTCCTTCCCCACAACTTTCCCATAAACCAAACGATACGAAACGAGAGAGCAGAAAAATACCTCACAAATGCCGTTGACAAGGTAACCAAAGAAGAACCCAGAAGAGCAAATGAGAAACTGTTTCCATTTTGGTCTATCAGAAAGCGAAATCCCAAACAAAGAACGAGCTTGCTCTTCGTTTTCCATTGCTATCTCTGTTTCTTGTTTTTTTTTTTGGCTCCACCCTTTTTTTCTGCTCACTCCAATTAATTACTTAAGAAGAAAGAAGCCCCGACACTTTAGTGCGAGCTAAGAAAACGAAGTTTGATGACATCAACCATGTAAAACTGTCAATCAACTTTCCCTTCCCTTTGCATGTTGACTTCGGTAGCCGTTTGGTTACGTCTAATTATTCTGTTCAAGTACAAGCAGTAAATGTATTTTTGTACTCTGCTCGGGCTTCTGATGAAACAGAGAGAAAACAGAGGACACAGAGAGAGAAGAAATATTAGAAGGGGTGGATTCTCTATACGCGTTTTCCCGATAAATTTATTGTACTGGGAAAATCAAGGAGTTACCATTTATGGACAGCCTTTTGAAGAATAAGAGAGTTTTGGGGCTAATTTTTCGGCTTTTGTCAATGAGGACTTAGGGACTTTGATCCTGTGAACAATTGAATACGATTTAGGGATCTTCGGATGAGGGTTGCCACACTGGATTAGAGATTATGTATTTTTATACTTAAGCTAATGTGTTTATATTTTTATTGTTGGTTATATTAGGTTTTAATTATAAAAGAAATATATTTTGAGAAAAAAGAATTATGTTTAGGCATGAGAAGGGAGAAAATAAAAAATAAAAAATACAATAAAGGAAAAGTAATTAAATGCACAAGAAATATGAGCCATATTCTTTTTTGTCAGTCCATTCTTGATTAAGATGATTGAAGTTTGGTGATTGAAACCCTTAATAAATCCAATTAATATTTAATATCGATAGGTCACCAATACTGATACTATGACTTGTGTCAAGATTTGATACTGTTAGTGTATCAAATATTGATCCAATTACTAAATTTATATGTTTTACTTAAATTATAAAAACAACAAAAAAGATAAATATTAGGGAATTAACCTATTTTTAATTAAAAAAAAGTCTCAATAAATGTTTCAAAAATTTCAAACTCAAGTTATATGTGTAATTACATTCTATCACTTGATAACAAAGTAACACTTTGTAATTGTGCAAAGTTAAAAGTTTAAAAATCATTAAAAATAAAATATTTTTAAATTTATGAATATTTATTTATAAAAAATTTTAATTTTTAAATTTATTTATTATCACGTGACAGTATTTGCTTTATTGATAATATATAAAATTTATACATTGATCGTGTATTAAATATAAATGTTATATGTATACAAATATCAATTTTAAAAAAAATATTTCAGAAAAAACGGCTTTGAAACATACTACCATTTTTTGTTGAAAGGTTAGTCATTTGTATATGAAGCTTACTAAGGGAATTACAAAACCAAAAAAAATTATTTATTTACTTTTATTATTAATTTTAAAATTCATCCTATTATATGCATAATTATTTTGATCATACCGTTATTAAAAGTAAAATGGAGCCCAAAAAGTGTAACAAGTTAATAAATTATTCAAGGTATTATCCTTTTTCATAGGTGATAAGTGTATATTTTGTGGTGGGGAATGCATGGCTTATCGCGAACCCAAAGCCGTAACACGCGAGAACAAAAAATTCGTGTTCACGTTTTCCATTTAGCGTAACGGTCACATCCAAAAATATCAAAAGAACGTTGAATGCAGACGGGATTTACCTGTGAAAAAAAATGAGTTGTTAATAAGGTTAAAAATTTCTTAGTCCAGAAGCCGGGGGGACCCCAAAAGGAAAACCTCATTCACACCAGATTTTATATGAAAAGTAATAATAAAATAATTATATAAATGATAATAATAAAATTAAAATTTAATAGGCGACAATGAATCACCACTTGGAGTCCGTCGATGCTAGGGATCATTTTTGAAACTCAACTTATGATCAAATATACAAAAACTCGTCTCCTTGTATAATATATTATATTATAATTTCTTTTTTCAATTAATATTTAATGGATGCATTTTAAAGATATTTAAAGATATCTTTAAATGTAAATGAATAAGTTAAATTTAAATTGAGAGTGTTTTGATCATTTTATTATATAAAATTAACAACTTAATCTATTGTGAAAATATAAATTATCTATATGGTATTACTTGAGAAAAAAAATCACAGTTATTATATGAAAAAAGTTAAAAATATAAGAGATGTAAATAAAGTTTATCTAAATAAAAAAGATATAATTTATAAAATAAAATTATATAGCCGCTTCTTATATGGTGACATTAATTGTTGAAATTTAAGTACAACCTTATTACTTGCTATAAGTATGGACATATTACCATCACTAGTATATATATGGATTAGTATAGGACGGAACTCATTAAAGCCTAGATTAAGCAACTAATTATCTTTTAATTGTATTTACTAGTGGTAAGAGGAGCCTTGGGCTATGTCATTTGTTTGAAAGTGCTATCGGCCAAATTCTACGATTTAATTGCTTGTATGCCACTATGGTGTTTAATACACGATCGTTTAATGCGGAACGGTCAATGCTTTAGGGCACATCTTTTTTATTTCCAATCCTGTTTTTTAAAATTTTTCTTCCCATAATTCATTTTGAACTCTTTTTATTTATAATTCTTATATCTATCTGCTGTGTCTCACGTAGGCTCAATTTTGTGAATATTTTTTTGCCTGACCCTTATTATTGAAAAAATATAAAAGGTAAAATGAAATGATGAAAATATATTAGGCGAAAGGTTGGTAGCAACAAGATTGGACAAACCTTAAGACTTTGCGTAGCCTAATTTCTAGGCACACAAATTAATCGCATTGCTTTATACGAGAAAAGGTTTATTTAATTCACATTTGACATTTTATGTGCAGCATTATTGTTACTTTATTAAATATTCTCTTGATATTTTTTATAATCTTACATCATCTCATTAACTTGAGTTATTTTTGTTAGTCCATTCTTGATTAAGCAACTAATTATCTTTTAATTGTATTTACTAGTGGTAAGAGGAGCCTTGTGTCACGGGGTCATTACTCTCTCCTCCATAAACCGACTTATAGGGGTGTGCAGCACACCCGCTTATAAGGAGCTCAGGACTTCCCGTTCATGTCTGATGTAGGATAGAGGCACTTTCCTTGTGACACTCTCACCCACCCAAATCGGCAACGCCCCCGTTGCCGTCGGTCACCCTGCCTACCCCATTGGGCCCCATTGGGCCAGCCTCACCGGGCCGGGCGCTTGGCGTGAGTCAAAACGAGGATCGATCTGCTCTGATACCACTTTGTCACGGGGTCATTACTCTCTCCCCCATAAACCGGTTTATAGGGGTGTACAGCACACCCGCTTATAAGAGCCCAGGACCTCCCGTTCCTGTCTGATGTGGGATAGAGTCACTTTCCTTGTGACACTTGGACTATGTCATTTGTTTGAAAGTGCTATCAGCCAAATTGTCTATGGTCTACGATTTAATTGCTTGTATGCCACTAAGGTGTTTAATACGCGATCGTTTAATGCAGAACGGTCAATGCTTTAGGGCACATCTTTTTTATTTCCAATCCCGTTTTTAAAAATTTTTCTTCCCATAATTCATTTTGAACTCTTTT